AGTCCAATGATTTCCACGTTTACTAACATATTCAGATATTTTATCCCTTTTTGTAATATGTTGAGCATAAGGGAAACTTTTGTTTTGGAAACATAACTTCATAACTTTCAGAAAGGTTTTTACAAAGCATTTTCCATATCAATTCTAATAAACTATAATGGGTATAGTTTGGGATAACCCTCTAGGCAGTTTTTACCAAATCAGAATTCATGGATGAATATATATAAACTATGGTAGATTTAGTTTGTGTTATATATTACTATTATTCAAGGATAATTATTGTTTTATACTGTTTCTAGCTAGTAAACTAGATTATACATAATTGTGAGGCTCTACTTCAATACTGTACCCTTAGGTGTACAGGGATAAATCCTATCTCAGTATAACCAGAGTCTCCTGGAGGGAGAGCGTGAGATTTGTGAATAGATCTATTCGGGACTGACAATCCCACACCAGAACTGCTAGCTACAGTTAGGCAGGCATGCCTGTGGTCGACAAATGTCATTTAGCTTAAACGCCTGAAGAACGTTATAAAGGTCTCTAGGTCATATCAAGTATGGTTATACGACTCGCAAATAAGTATAAACTAACGTTGGTTTACGAACTCTACTCTTCATTTGTTTTATTTTTAGTAATAAAACTACTTTCATATATACTGATAGTAATCAGGGATTTCTAATCTTACATCTCTACCTCTAGGACGGATATACTGTTTTAGGGAAAATATAGGATTTTCCCGGGATAACACCGGCTTTTCTAAAATTGACGATTTATTATTCAACTAACGGATATTCATATTCATTCCGTGACTCCTTGGATTGTGCATATCTTGTATGAACCGAGAAGTCATGGAAAGAATGGGTTTTCAAACACGCTTTTCATAAGAAAATATAGGATTTTCTTGAGGAACACTTTTCAAAAGGATTCAAAGAACATTTTTCCACCAAAACTAAATGCTTATGAACTCACCAGCTTTATGCTGATATTCTTTCAAAACTGCTTGTATTCTCAGGGAATTAGTAGACAGGTACTTCCAGGAGTTCGGAGAAGTCGGAGCGTTAGAGCCACGTCTTTCCATTTTACTTTTGATATGAACAAAACTATGTATTAAACAATGTAAACTTTATTCATATATGTATTCAATGTCTGGTTGTGTTTACTATGCTTGCTATGATACAATTGTTGTGATACTACGCATGACGCCAACCACCCCCGAACGTTTCCGCCGTTCCGGTTTGGGGGTGTGACATCAGTCGATATTGTTGTAAGTTTTGTATTTGTTTATGTGTTTTATTTATTATTGTCCGGTACTTTGTAGATGTACCCTTTATATATAATTACAGTATCATACTCGTGTTTCCTGGTATGTTGTATTTGTACCTTTGTTAGTGTAAACCCGGTATGATGTATTACCTCGTGTTTGCTAACCTTGGTACGCGGTATTCGTACCGTTGTTAGTGCAAACCCGTAATAATGTGTTATTACCTCGTGTTTGCTAACCCTGGTACGTTGTATTTATACCGTTGTTAGTGCAAACCCGGAATGATGTGTTATTACCTCGTGTTTGCTAACCCTGGTACGTTGTATTTGTACCGTTGTTAGTGCAAACCCAGAATAATGTGTTATTACCTCGTGTTTGCTAACCCTGGTACGTTGTATTTGTACCGTTGTTAGTGTAAACCCGGAATGATGTGTTATTACCTTAATTTGTTATAAACAATGAGTTAAAGATACGATAACTTCCTACGATACTAGGAATATATAGTATAAGTGTGTAATTCATGATTTTTTCATCTGTTATAGTTATAGTATGTTCCTCCTTGTACTAGTTATAGTATGCTTCTCCCTGTACTATTTATAGTATGCTTCTCCCTGTACTAGTTATAGTATGCTTCTCCCTGTACTAGTTATAGTATGAACTGAATCCCTAAACTATACCTATTATAGTTTACTAGTATGTTTATTTGAACTGTTATTACCTTGAAATAAAGACTCATTTATCTACTAAGTTATGATTGTACTTTAAAAACGGAGTTTTATAAACCATAAAGTAGCATAACTTTTAAAAGAGTTTTTGCAATGATTTGATCACTTATAAACACATAAGCAATCCTTAAAAATGATGTTTATCACAAAACATTTACACAATTATCATTGTGTTCAACTTGTATTCCCCCCCCCCCCTTAAAAGCATTTAAAACATTTAAAAGATTGATTATAGGGGTATGAACTCACCTTATGTGGGTGATTCAATCGAATATGCGCGTAAGGATGAGAAGTTCCACAAATGAATTCCCGAGACACAAACGAGTCGATTTGGAAGCTTGAAGAGGGTTCACAGACACCAAGAACAAGTGTGTGTTCTTGGTGTTCTTGGTGAAGTGAATGAAGATTTGAAGATCTATCATAAAGAGTTGTTTTCATGGATGGATCATGAGATGATACATAACTAGGGAAGATATCAAGAAGGATAGAAGAATCACTTACGATTTTGGAGGATTAGGATGAAGAATCTTGATGATACTTGAGAGAGAACCGACTTTCTAGACTTGGAAGTGTAAAAAATGAATGAAAAATGAAGGGATGGCTTATATATGGACATGGGTTCATGGCCATCTTGAGTGTACTGCCGTACACCCATGTGTGCGGCCGTACACTCCTCTTGGTGGAGTGTTTGGCTCGAGTGCATCATGCAGAATCCAAGTTAGCTCATCCCTAAACTCAAAAATTGAACGTACTAGGCTTAGAACACTCAAACAGACCCGAAACAATGCTAAAAGATAGCAGAAATGAGTCAGACTCTCGATTGATTGGTTGGACTTAGGGTTAAAATTTGGAAATACCTCATCAGCGTGATGTTACAAAGTTTGTAGGTGAAGGTCTTCACTTGTCGATTGTCCGAGATATCCATGATATAGAAAAAATTATCAACCTCATATAACCAATTGAGAATACCTTTAAGGTCCGAATTCTCGTTGAAATTAAGGATCTTGGCCATGATAAGGTAACCAAATTTGTAATCATTTTGTCCGCCTCTAGCATGTTGATCATTAATTTTCTTCATCTTCATCATTAGAAAATCATTCACATAGACTATCTTCTGTTTTTGGGAGGATGACGACCTCCTGTAGCACTACCACCATCATGGTTGTTTAATATTGCCTTTGATTGTCATTATTTTTTGCAACCTTGTGATTTCCAAATCCATTATGACCATCTACGATGTGTGTAGGGAAATAAGTTGGGTAGTAAGAGCATCAATCAGCTGCTACAAACCCTCAACCATGCGACCCCGCCAGTAGGGTTCATTTGTGGACCATATTCAATGTCATTCTCCGCTAGGATGCAAATGTGCTCCGATACCATGTGACGCATAGTGAAAATAAAAAATAAGAGAAAACTCAAAGAGGATTTATTACTGAATTTCACAATGCCTCTAAGGCTTATAAAGGCATATATATATATATATATATATATATATATATATATATATATATATATATATATATATATATATATATATATATAGGTTAGAGCTAAATTTGGCAAGTACGGCCAAATTTGAAAAATAAAATTAATGATAAGTTTTTTGAAATTAAACAGCTAAAAAAACAAGAAAAGTTTTAAAATCCAAAAAATGACATGTTTTTTCATCAAAACTGAACACAGAAATTAAATTAACCGAAATTGGGGGAAATCATAAATTTGAGGCCTAAACACGAAAATATGGGGATCGGGCGATGGTAACCTGTTAGGAGCTTCGGCCCAACAAGAGCTTTATGTTGATGTATCGCACATCTCCAAACTTCTTACGGATCAAAAGTTGTCTGTTTTAAGTTGGGCATCTTTTGGCCCCTTTTGTCCTTCTCTCACTTATCCATAAAAGTTTATGCTAAATCATGTATATGCTCTGCATCGACATTTAAACTATGTAATGCAAATGACTAATTATAAGTCAAGTGAAGTAATTAAACTGTAATAATTATTAATTATACTAACTATATATTAAATTATACTTCTTATAAGTTAAACAAAACTAATTAAATGCAACCAAATTTAAATTAAGGATTAAAGCGATAAGAAGAAATAAAAAAAATTAGAAAAAAAAAAACTAACATCATCTCGCGCAAGACAATAACTTTGGCCACACCAATTGCATCTACCAAAAAATATTGAGTTGTCTAAGTTTTTTAGGTGGGAAGGATATAGCTGAGACTGAGACTGAGACTGAGACTGAGACTGAGACTGAAACTGAGACTTATCTGGGACCAACCCATACATGAAGACTGAAATCAAACCATCGGGAGACCAATTCAAGACTGAGATCAATCCGACCTGTGACCGGCTTGGGACCGATGGTTTGCTGAAAACTGGACCGAACCCCAGACGGTCAAACGCATTGGGACATGCTGGTTTGAGATCTGTTCAAGCTTGGTTAGGTCCTTATATGCAATTTTTAGTACTGGTTCAAATGTTCAGATCTAATGTGGAATTGGAGAAAATGAAATCAAAGTAGTGAATTATAGATGTGTTGTAGTTTTCCTTTTGATTATATTTGTAATGGGTATCTTGGTCAATAGACAATGAAGTTTCACATATCATCTGTTGTACCACGATTCAGCCCCAAAATAGGGCCGCTTTGGCAAGAGGAAGACGACTTCACCTGATTCAATCTCTAATTCACTTCCACATTTAGCGAGCTCCTTCAGTTTTCATTCTCATTATTCATCGTATTAAGGTATAAAATGATACACGAAACAAATTTCCACCAAGAGCAAAACGTTCCAGATTATTCAATTAAAATGACACATTGTCACATAGAGTGGCTACTCAACCAACGAGATAAACCAACAATTGTTGATCACATCAAAGAAAGATCAAGTGTTCAACAGCCTGTTGAGTACAGTTAAAAAATTATTGAATACTTTTAAAAAAAAATAGTAACTCGTGACAAAGAAGAAAAAATTCAATCGTTTTGTTAGTTTAAAGCACAAACACATCAAATTAGTTTTAATCTTTTTACAATTTTCAGGTTACAACATATATCCAACCAAGTATGTTCAACTGTTTACAAATATATACAAACCAATCCTATCTTTCAACAAATCCAAAACAATGCAAGTCCAAATCAAACAACAATTATATGTACAAATGGATGATGCCCACAACAACACTGCAACGCCTTCATCGGAAGCGAGGGTCATAAGAAATATTGACAGGATCCACAACAATAAGAGGTAGCTTTTGGATGTACATAACAAGTCTCCTCAAATTCTCCCTTGCAATAGCTGATAACTCAATGACTTCATAACGACAAGTGTAGATCCATAGGTCACCCGAGTTGACTCGTTTCAAATTATCACGGCAAAATGGACATGATTGAGATCGAGCACGCCTGAGTTTATTACATGTTTGAATTTATAACTAGTCATATACCAATATGTAAAAGACTAGTTTACCCTTTACCGTTGGGGTAGTTTAGCAATGTCAACAATATTCAACTCTCTTCATATTGTGTCTTGACATGGGCAAAGAAAATATGAAAAATAATCATTGTATTTGTATCGGTATATATGATATCCTTGGTGAAAAATTACTAATATATGAATGCATGAAGTCAAAAAAAATCCACTTTGTCGCATATATTTCCCATATATACGGATAACTTAGTAATGTTAGCGCTAGGTATTGATGTAGAGTCATGGACCAAGATAAAATAAAGAGAAATTAAATATCCTCGTACATTTTATTCCTACTTATCCTCCTACCATATCAAATGTTGACATGTGTCGCATTTAATAAAATTGATAATATTTAATCCATTTGTCACCATTTCATGTGGGTAGGAGGATAATAGGAAGAAATTGTAGGAGGGTGTTTAATTTCTCTAAAATAAATCATAAATTTTGTATTTGTATATGTATTATACACACATGGTAAGAGACTTTTTTATGTAATGGACTTATTTACCAAAATATGCAACGAAGTGGATTTCATATGAATCTATGTAGCCATGTTTCATTTTGTTACCAAAAATTAACCAATCTATGAAAAATAAAATAGAGAAAAGCACTTATACTTTCATCATTTTATTGATTTAGTCGCTTAGCTACTTTTTGTAATGATTAAACTATTATTATTTTTCTTACGAGTAAATGAAAACATTTTCCAGGTTATTCGGTTTTCATATCGGGCAAAATACAAGAAAACGTACTTTGATCATTTTAACGATTTAGTAACTATTATTTTTATCAATTTAACCAGTTGAGTATTATTATAATAATCATAGAAAAAATAATATTTCAACGGCTAAATCGATAAAATGGTGAAAACATACTGTTCTTTTATGTATTTTGCCCTTTTTCAAAACCGGGTAAGGGAGGAGGGAGTCATTCCCTCCCAACCCACTGAACCCACCGTCACATCAATTTTTGTCTCTTTTTTCTTCATCTTTCCCAACCCACAACACACGGAAATCATATTATTCACAACCCACTCAATTAAAAAAATACAAAACAATTAAGGTATAAGTCTTAAAACACACAGTACAAGAGAAAATAAGAGAGAGAAAGTAGAGAGAGAGGATGAAGCAGGTTAGTGAAACCAATTAAACAACCCACCACTCCCAACCCACTGAAGAGGGAGTGGTATCTTGGAGTTACCAGCGGTAACTCTATTGCTAATTAAGATTTTACCTTGATTGTTTTGTATTTTTTTTAATTGAATGGGTTGAGTGGGTTGAAAAAGATAGTGTTTCCGTGTGTTGTGGGTTGGGAAATATGAAGAAAAATGAAAGAGAAAAACTGATGTGGCAGTGGGTTGAGTGGGTTCGGAGGGAATGACTCCCTCCTCCCTACCTTAGGGAGGAGGGAGTCATTCCCTCCCAACCCACTGATCTCACTGTCACATCAACTTTTGTCTCTTCTTTTTCTTCATCTTTCCCAACCCACAACACACGGAAATCATATCTTGTCAACCCACTCAATTAAAAAAAAAATACAAAACAACTAAGTTACAAGTTTTAAAACACATGGTACAAGAGAAAATGAGAGAGAGAAAGTACAGAGAAGTGATGAAGTGGGTTAGTGAAACCAATTAACCAACCCGTTGAATCGGGAGTGGTACCGCCGGTAACTCTATTGCTAATTAAGATTTTACCTTTTATTGTTTTGTGTATTTTTTTTAATTGAATGTGTTCAAAAAGATAGGGTTTCCGTGTGTTATGGGTTGGGAAAGATGATGAAAAATAAAAGAGAAAAAGTGATGTAGCAGTGGGTTCAGTGGGTTGGGAGGGAATGACTCCCTCCTCCCTAACAGGAAGAAATGTCTTTTTATAACGATCAAGAAAGGTATGATGGTTTAATCACTTTAGAAAATAGTTAAGTGACAAAATCGATAAAATAGTGAAAGTGAAAATACTTTTCCATATTTTGCCCATTAATGAACCCATAAATTGATCAAAAAAATTCCAGTTTGTTGCATAAATTAGTTATAAATATTGGTAACAAATAGGTAAAAACACATGCAAGCTTGTTCCTTAAATAAGTCATTAACCATACACCTATATGTATGCATATATAGAAACAATGAATGGAGTCGACTTACCAATTTGTGTAGCACTTCATACACAAGGAATGATTGCAATCCGGCAAGACAACTTTGGTGTTCAACTCTAAACAAATCCCGCATTCTTCCTCTCGCTCCATATCAATTTCTGATAGTTTACCTTTGTTCATCTCATCCTTTCTTTGATACTTTGATGCACAAAGCTCCTTTTGTTTTCTATCTTCAATATCACTTATTCCCCTTTGAAGTTGCAATAAAGATGGAAATATAACACCTATTCAAAAGACCCTACAATGAGTACCCTGTCTTTCATTTACTATTGTCCAAACAAATGATGTTTGAGAAAATGATTGCACATTTCATAAATGGTTGGCAAATGGAAAAAATGAATTAGGGCAAATTTGCAAAAAGTAAAAGACTTAACCAAAAGCCTCAATATTTTTTATATTCTTTAAATCGTACTTTATACGTTATGTAAAAGAACTTTTTGTCATTACGTATCTTTCTCTCTCATTAAATGCCAGAAGAGACAAAATTGTCATTTGAGTTTTAAAGTTTAAACACTTGGTTTTGGTTATTTGCTAAAATATAAAGAATAAAGGTCGAGGTAAACCAACCATAGAATTCTCTTATAGTGGCTTTATGTTCATGAATATACATGCTCGTCTTTCCATCCTCATATGCCTGCAATGCCATATAATGACAAGTTACACCATTCACAAATGTCGAAAATACCCCTCCATTCCCAACATACTTGTACATGAAGATACCATAAAGATTGTAAGACATAATATAACATAACAGGTTTAAAGTGTTTAACAAAACAAGAATGATGTCAATCATTCCATCCAAAAAGGGTACATGGTAGAATAAGATGGACACAACCATCAAAGAAAAAGACGAATATATCCTCATCATCCTCATATTGAAAAGACAAAATATAGCAAGCATCATGTGCATACACATACATAAAACATATATACCTTGTAAATAAGGATTCTGAGTAAACCAAGGGCGCCAGCAAGGTGACAATCGCTCCACTGAACAAAAAACAGAAAGAACTGAGCACATGGACTGTATGATAATCTCATCTGAAGGCATCCACCATCATACTCCCTTGGATAATCTGATGCCCTGTTTTTGTTATACAACTAAATAATCAGCCAAATTCTCAAATTTTCTCTAATTTAAAGATTCTTGTTAGAATTAAACAACTTAAAACCACATGTTTTGAGAGACTGATTACTCAGAGACTCTGTCAAAGCTATGTAATTCAAAGTCTTGTTTTGAGAATGAGAACCCTTAAATCCAACATAATATTCAATCAATATTATATTAAGAATCATTAATTTACATAATCCATACTTAATTAAGAGAGAGAGAGAGAGAGAGAGAGAGAGAGAGAGAGAGAGATTACAGAGTATTGGCATGTTGTATATCGGCTTCAAGTGCTTTAAAAGAATCTTTAAAAGACTTCCTCATCTCCCACCTTACCCAATTCCCATCAAACGAAACCAAATCTTCCTTAAAACCCTAAAATCAACAACCCCAACTCACTTCAATTAACAATAAACCTCACAAAATTCTCGACTTTTTGCTCTGTGTTCCCCAAATAATTGAAGTGAAAAGAGCTTGAAATAGCCAGAAAGAAAAGACGATTCTATCTGGGTTGCACCAGAGGAATCTCGAAAGTTTGCGTATTGTGGATGAAGGGTGAAGTATCTTCTTAAGAAATTATGGTGCCCCACACACACACTGGCACACACACACAGAGAAGTAATTAACTACGTCTTTTCACTTGAACAGCACGCTTCTTGCTGAATTGAGGGATAGTACTAAATAAAAACTCCAGAGAAAGTACAACCTTCACTTCGAAATGTACAAGCTCACGTAGTATGATTGGTCTGGGCTCGGTGATTACAGCTCTGGAAAAACGAATTACAGTTCTGCCGTCTTTTTCTTTCTTGCTTTGGATAGCTAAATGTTCAAACCCTTGTATTATGAAATTATGTCATAAAAACCCCTCCTTTATAGAAGAACACATATATGGACCTCGTGGTATGGATTTATTCGGAGAAAGCCTATGAATTTGTTAATAGGAAGGATAAAAATAGGACTTGTTGTTTATGAAGTCATATCTTTCTAAAAATTTCATTTTATATACTTTTCTACTTTCATTTCACTAGATATGTCATTATTCTCTTAATTATATTTGATTATCATATTTTTATCAGTTAAAACAGATATTTATAATTAGTTTTCACTCATTATGCTTATAATATTCTTGAGTTTTGAGTCCTGGCTAGTTTTTTTTATGTGATACATTTATGTGATGTAAATATAAACATTAAAAATGCTAATTTCCGAAATTACTAAAAAACGATATTTTTAGTGATATGCAAACAGAACTTCCAAACAAGAATATATGTACGCATCCTCCTTCTCATGCACCAGTTTTTGGCACGTAATTGTGGTTCTCACATGTTTTACGTGTATTTTTGTTTGGTTTTAGTTATCTCATGCTAATTAGGTATCTTTTACGTACTTACAAAGATAGAATTGTTGTTTATCAAACAGGTGTGTCGCGTAAGATGATGAAAGTTGCTAACCATCAAAAGAAATATACAAATTTTAAAATTTAAAACTGTTACTGCTGATAAAGATGCTAACAATGGTTATAATTGTAACATTTACGCATTTTTCATAACCAAAAAATGTGATTACTCGAGGGATAGTTACAAAATGAGAAAAAAATATATATATTGGTAATTGGCCCAATTTTTGGAAATTGACCAAATGACGGTGTCGCCGGAACATGAAATTTCAATTTAAAGTAATTGAATATCGGAGTGTCGGGTTTTTTGATGAGATTGAAGAGACTAGAAGTATTTTGCATTATAAAATTTCAGAGTATTTTTCAAGAAAGTACAATTCTGAATTATTTTATCTGGCGTTGTTCATTTTGGACAACCATTACGTGTTGTCATTTCGGAGTCCGTAATTTTTTTCCAACTTATCTAGGTTAAGTTTTGACAAACTTATTTGAAGCACAATCCATAAACAATTTTACTGTTGTTAGAAACGAGTTCACCCAACCGAATTCATGAAAAAGTTTTTCTAGCCTTGTGTAATGTTACAATCAGGAAAAAAAAAACGAATATAGGAATAGTTGCCCCATCTTAATACATCCGGAATAACATTTCATGAAGACATTATTTGCAATCATGTCATGTCCAACGGAAGATAGGTTCAACATTACATAATTGGAATATTTTATAAAAACAAAGAAGACCTGTGCTATAATGAGAAAGAAGACGTGTGATAAAATGAGATAGATCACTCGATAGTCGAATCATATATCATAGGGGTAAGCTTTGATTTTTTGCCCGTAATGGAGCTTACAATGTTTATTGGACGAGTTTGGAAAAAAAATGAGGGGTTGGTCAAGTTAAGTTTTTATAAACGAATTTTCGTGAAATTATTTTTAAAAATACATTGTTTTCACAAATTTAATTCGGCATAAAAACTATGTACTCAAACTTGGTTTGACTTATTAAATATGAATTTTGAATCTGCAATAAAGGTATTGAGACTGTCATCTAGGTAGTGATTTCGTTGGATTTTTCTCGGTGTGAAATCTATTCATGTCAGAAGAAAAAAAAAAGTGAATTATTTTTAGTTCAAATTTTTAGTTTTCTTTATTTTATTCTAAATTCTTTTTAGGTCGTCTACATCTTTCCATTTGTTCATAATGTTTAATTTTTTTATTACTTGAAGTCAAGTAAGATTCAAGCTCGGAGAGATTTGATAGATGTCATTTTATGCATCTTTTAGGTTAGTTTTTATTAGCATTTAACATCCTATTTTGTACATTTGCATGCCATTAGTTTAAATAATGTACATCTCATGTTTTATATAAGAATTCATGTACTGCTAGCATTTTTATGTCATTTTCAGATAATTCGAGTGGAGCAGTATTTTGGGACCAATTTTAGATGCGTTTGATGGAGCAGTATTTTGGGACCAATTTTTATGTCATTTTCAGATAATTCGAGTGGAGCAGCATTTTTAAACTTTTAAAAGCATTTCAAAACTATTGATTATTACAAAACTTGTTTCCAGAATAGTTCAGTGTCAGAATATCCCAAAATCAAATCATAAACAATAGGAGGTGTACGATCATGCCTTCGCCTTTCCGCAATCATCGGAAGTACCAGAAACAAAATCAACAACTGTAAGCCCGAAGCTTAGTGAGTTTCCCCCAAAATACTCATACACACATCAACATATACATAAACATAACAACATACTATGGATCCAATCAACCATCGGGTTGGCATACCCCAGGCCCTCAACCATCGGGTTGGAATGCCAACATACTATAGGTCCAATCATCCTCGGGATGGAATAGTCCAGGCCCATAACCATCGGGTTGCAATGCCCTCATACTACGAGTCCAATCATCCTCGGGATGGAATACTCACGGCCCACAACCATCGAGTTGGATTGACCAGGTATGTTGGCTCTCGCACAAAGCAGATAAGCCTCAACCACTAATCAAACATGTGCATATATATCAGATAATCACATAACAGTCTATAGACAAGCAAACCGATCTAACCCATCATATCAGCATAACCTCATCCTATCTAACAGGATACTGATCTAACAGATCATAGCAACATAATACCATCCTATCTACTAGGATACTAATCTAACAGCTTATACTAGCATAACATATCAGGATAACAATCCAAAAGGGTTGGCCTTGGTGCCTTAGACCCTTGAGTATAGTGAGGAAAACTCACCTCACAAGTAGCTCGAATCGATAAAGTCAACTCAACCAAATGCATCTCCAAATCCAACACCTACATTCACCGATGACTCGCTTCCATAAATTCCCAAATTACCAAAATACCCCCAGAGGTCAAACTGGTCAACCCTTTGTCCAAGTCAAAGTCAACGGTCAAAGTCAACAGTCCATGTTGACCCAACTCGTCGAGTGCAGCTAGCAACTCGTCGAGTTCCTTAAGGGTTCAGAAGGTCATCAAACCCTTACTAACTAGCCGAGTTTACAACCAACTCGTCGAGTCTATGCGTGTCCAGAAGTCGGGGAAAACCCTAACTGACTCGTCGAGTCCTCTCACTGACTCGTCGAGTCCATGTAGAAACCAGCCCCAGGAAATCTTCATCCGACTCGTCGAGTTGACCATGCAACTCGTCGAGTCCCTTCAGTCTATTACCTATTCAGACGATTTTACGCCACCCAAAAGCTCCAAATTGTAGATCTAGGTTCCTAGGGCATACTTATACGTAAAGTTGCAAACTTTACGTACATGCAAGGTGCTAAGGGCCAAAATTCTGCTAAAGAAGAGGTTCTAAGTGAGGAAAAGGCGTTATCTTGCTAAAGGCTGAAGCTTTATGACCATAGAAATCAAGATGAGCCTAGATTTGAAGTTGCAACTTCAGATCATGTCTAATACCTGACATGAATCACTAACATACTAAAATGGCCCTAATCTCAAACATGAAGAGATCTAGTTAGAAGGAAGTTCAAGGTAACGAATTTTTACCTTCAAGTGATGCAAAAATGGAGTCGAATTCAGATCCACAACTCTTCCTTGCTCCAAGCTCCTTGGTCTTCAAGTTCTTCTCACCAAGATCCACCTTCCATGCTTAATAACACACAAATATAGGGAGGAAACACGATTTAGGGCTTCTGAGTTCAAGGGGGGTTGTAAGGGAGGCTAAGGGACGCTAATGCCCCTTTAAATAAGGTGCAAAACCATGAAAGTTAAGGTTTCATCCTCCAGCTCCAACTCGTAGAGTCGTGTCCTCTGACTCGTCAAGTTGGTCACTTAAAACACGCGACTGATTTCGTTCCTACTCGACGAGTCAGGGCATCCGACTCGTCGAGTAGATCCTTTAAAATGGAAATAAAGCTGTAAAATTTATACCTGAGATTCGGGGTGTTACAATTATCCCCCACTTGAACTAGACTTCGTCCTCGAAGTCTGTTGCGGTGAACAACTCCGGATAATGCTCCCGCATCTCAGCATCCGGCTCCCAAGTCCACTCAGATCCCCTCCAGTGCTCCCATTGTACCTTTACCAAAGGTACTTCCTTGTTCCGTAGAACCTTCACTTTCCTCTCCAGAACGGCCACCGGCCTCTCCACGTAATTCAGGTGCTCATCGACCTGAATATCGTCTAATGACACTACTGCCTCATCGTCCAGAACGCACTTATGCAACTGTGAAATATGGAAAGTATTGTGGATCTTACTAAGCTCCTCTGGTAGCTCTAGTCTATATGCTACCTTGCCAACCCTGGCAATGATCCTGAACGGCCTGATGTATCGGGGACCCAGCTTCGCCCTCTCCCTGAAGCGAATCACACCCTTCCAGGGTGAGACCTTCAGGAGTACCATGTCACCCACCTGGAACACCAGCTCAGATCGACGTCTGTCAGCGTAAATTTTCTGCCGACTCTGAGCGGTCTGTAGCCGCTGTCTGATCTGCTGAATCCTCTCGGTAGTCTACAGAACTACCTCGGTCTGTCCCATCACCCTGTGACCGATATCACCCCAACAGACTGGGGTGCGACACCTCCGTCCGTACAACAGCCGTATGGTGGGGCACCAATACTGGAATGAAAGCTGTTGTTGTAGGAGAACTTTGCAAGGGGTAGGTAGGAGTCCCAACTCCCACCGAAGTCAATAACGCAGGCTCTCAACATATCCTTGAGAGTCTGTATGGTCCGCTCACTCTGGTTGTCCGTCTGTAGATGATAGGTTGTA